GCTGAAGACTGGGAGTGGAGCCTTAGATAAAGCAGGTTCTAGGGAGCCCTCCCTTTTTTTGCTTTGAAAGGCATGGCTGGAATTCTTTTGCCTTCATGCTCCCCCCCCCCAAAGGAAGAGATGGAAAGGCCGTGGGCCCTGGACTGAGATCTGTGGCAGTGCCAGCTTCCCCCTACTTGCCCTGTCCTGTTTTCTTCGCTTGTTGCTAGTTAAGTGAGAGACTATATTAGGTAAGTGAGGAATCTGAAGTTCGGTTGAGTGGTGTGTCCCTAATAGCATAGCTAGGAAGCAGCAAAACCGTGATATGGACCCAGGCTTTCTGAGGAAGTCTAGTGCTCCTTCCAAATGCCACGGCCGTTTTCTCTTTAGTGCAATTGTTGACATACTTCATGAATCTTCATTCTCGCTGGAAAATTTTATGTATCAGCTGATTTTGAGACAGGGTCTCACCCTGTCACCCAGGCTGGAGTACAGTGGCCTGATCATAGCTCACTACAGAGCCTGTGACTTCTGGGTTCAACAATCCTCCTGCCTCAGCCTCCTGAGGAGCTGGGACTATAGGTGTGCACCACCGCACCTGACTAGTTGTTTTTGTTTTTTGCAGAGGCAGGATCTTACTATGTTGCCCAGGCTGGTCTTGAACTCCTGGGCTCAAGTAGTCTGCCTGCCTCAGCCTCTTAAGGTGCTGGGATTTACAGACATGAGCCACTGCGCCCAGTCCAGTATTTCTAATAGTTTCTGGTTCATATTATCTTTAGCAGTTAACAAAATTTATTAAACATTTTTAAATGTTGGGCTAGCTCAATGGGAAAAAGAGAAAGTCTTTAATAAATGATAACCATACAGAAAAAACTAACCACTTCTTATTCAAAATTCATGTATATGCCATATCTCACTTCATATACAAAATTTAGTCCAAGAAGGATCAAAGGCCTAAAGTAAAGCAAGTGCATGAAGCTTCTGGAAACCAGGCATGGTGGCTCCCACCTGTAACCCAGCTACTTGGGAGGCCGAGGTGAGGAGTTTGAGACCAACCTGAGTAACACAGCAGGACCTCATGTCTAAAAAAAATAAAATTTAGCCAGGCATAGTGGTATATACCCATAATCCCTGCTACTCCTGACTGAGGTGAGAGAATCACTTGAGCCCCGGACTTTGAGGCTGCAGTGAGCTATGATTGTACTGCTGCATTCCAGCCTGAGAGACAGAGCAAGACCCTGTTTCTTAAAAATAAAAATAAAAATAAATTAAAATTACAGCGCAAGACAGTAGTAACACTAGTGATATCTTTATTATTTTAATCAATATTTTAATATCTTAAAATGAGTGCAAACAAGAAACCCAGTGCATCACTTTTTTTTTTTTTTTGGAAGCCGGATTTATTGAGAAGACAGAAAAGCTCCCACAGAAGGAGGGAACCCAAAAGGGTTGCCCCATGTATCACTTTTTTTGCCATTTTTTTCTGTGTGAAAAATTTTTTATCAAGGTGAGATTTTCATATCATTAAATTCATAGATCTTGAGTATACAATGCAGTGAGTTTAACAAATGTGTAGACCTGTATGTCAAACACCTAATCAAGAAACAGAGCGTTTCCATTACCATAGTTGCATATCTGCCACCACCCCCCCACCCCCCCCCCCC